CATTCAAAAATAGCATTAACATTTTATCAACATATATCAGGGTCATGGAAATGAAGAATAACAATAGGTTTACTCTGAAAGGGGGTGTGATGGCTCAGCGGTTAGCTTGTCAGCTGGAAAGCTGACAGCCCAGATTTGAGCACTGCATAATAGGGTAAGTTCCTGTTACTTGCCCCAGCTTCTGCCCACCTAGCATTTCTTTTTAAAAAAATAAATTTTATTGATTTTACAATTAAAACAAACCAACAACACATACATAAATGAAAGAGAGAAAAAGAAGAAAGGGAAAAGAAAATAGAAAGAAAAAAATAGAAAACAATTAAAAACATTCTCATCTTCAACAGTTTGTAAGACCTCTTTTTTATCCTTATTTTATGCCATATACACACACCTAATCCTTACATATATCTGTGTATCACTACTATGGATTTATCCTATCCTCTTTTGCCTTTTAGTGTGAAGTCTATCTTTGGTCTATCCATTTGTACCAGCAGTTCCAGCTGTTGTAGTATATTGAAGTGTCTTTATTTTTTAATGCCAAAGTTAATTTGGCCATTTCTGCACAACTTGAAATTTTTTGAATGATCATCTCCTCTGATGGAACATGAGGCTGCTTCCAACATTGTGCAAAAGCCAATCTGGCCGCTGTCAAAATGTGTATTATTATATATTTCACTTTTTTATATATTTGTTTATCAAAGATCCCTAACAGAAAGGACTCTGGTTTGAATTCGATCTGTTCTCGTGTCATTTCTTCCAGCCAATTTCTAATTTTCTGCCAATATTTTTGAGCTTCTGTACAGGACCACCACATATGGAAAAAAGTTCCCTCTTTTTTTTGCATTTCCAGCAATTTGGACTCATATTGGGGTGCATCTTCGCTAATCTCGAAGGAGGAAGGTGCCATCTATAAAACATTTTATAGGCGTTTTCTTTGTATGCTACCGATTTTGTAATTTTATTATTTCTATCCCAGACCTTTTCCCATTCTGTTATGGTGGTACTACGTCCTATATTCCTACTCCAGGCTATCATGTTCCCTTTTACAATTTCTTCTTCTAATTCTACTTCTAATAAATAATTATAAAATTTTGTTGTTGTTTTTTTTGCCTGATCCTAATAAAATTTTATCTAATTGCTGGAGTTTATTGTTAATTCCAAATTATTTCTTGTCCTGTTTATATCTACTTTGAATTTGAAGATATGCCCACTGATCAATTTTTAGTCCCCGCTCTTGAAGTTCTTGCCACAATTTCAAATTTCCTTGTGTATCCAATAGATCCTTTTATTTAATCATTTTAGTGATATCCAGATTATTTGGGTGAATCATCGCCTCATTGTTGAAATCCAAATTGGTATTTTTAAATAGTGTTTATTCCGTATTTTCTTCCAATTAGTTAATAATGAGTCTCTGATTAGGTGTCTGTGAAAATATTTCTGCCTAGTTTTCCCTACATCCCATAAAAAAGCATGCCACCCCCTTTGCAAGTCATGGCCTTCTAAGAATAATATTCTCTTATTGGTTAAATTCATCCATTCCTTCAACCATACTAAACAGGCTGCACTATTATACAACTCCCAATTTGGAAGTGCCAGCCCTCCCTTGCTCTTCATATCCTGCACTGCCTTTAAATTTATTCTAGTTTTTTTTCCCTTGCCAGATAAATTTTACAGTTATTTTATTAAGTTCTTCAAAAAAAAAATTTGTGTTCTTTGGGCAGTTCTGGTTTGAGCTTCTTCAGCGACAGACCAAAACCTTGTCTCTGTGAGGCTTCGATCCATGCTCGCTGCTGGAGTGCCCCGAGCTGGCTGGTTTCGGGGCTAAGCCACCCCGTAGAGGTGGGGAAGAGAGGGGAGACTGCCAGCAGGGTTGAGGAGAGCCGCATCTCTCCTCCCCAGCTGGCCATTACTCCCTTTCCCGAAGGTGGTTGCAGCAGTGGTCAGAAGAGGAGAGGAGAGCCGCATCTCTCCTCCCCAGCTGGCCATTACTCCCTCTCCCGAAGGTGGTTGCAGCAGTGGTCAGAAATGGCCACCACAAAGAAGAACTCAACCGGAAAAGAATGTGCAGGAGGAACATAAGAAGAGAAAGCTTTGGTTGACCGGGTGAAATAGCAAAAGCAACAAATATGGTACCCTGGAATTGAAATTGTTAAAAAACAATAACATTTTTCCCTAAGAAGATTTTTAAGCTGTGAAGGAGAGAGAAAAGGGAAAAGATTTGGTTTTCTCCTTTTCCTATACTGACAGCTAAGAGACTTAAGCAAGAAATTGGAAAAAAATCCACTTTGACATCAATAGGCATTTAATGCTGAAAATAAAAAGTCAAAGGGATAATAAAGATTTCTGGATAATTAAAAGCTTTTGAAAACAGGAAAGGAGAGAAAAAGAATAAAAGGGTAGGATCTGGAAGGGAGGAGACTGCCTGGAATTAAAAAAGAACTTATAGCAAAATCTCAACAAGACTTCCAAAAGATACATTCTAACTGAAATATCGCAACAAAAACCCCAGGAAGAGAAAGTCGAAAAAAAATTAAGATATAACTCGGGACTATCTGGATTACTTGATGATTTCTGGATTCTTGGTTATTGTTTTGAATGACTAAAATCAATCAGGTGGTTGTTTAAAACTGTTTAAAATGGCTCCACTTTTAGAAGAACTGAAAATGGAACTTAAAAAGTACAAAGAAGATGCACAAGAAGGGAGAGGTTCTCTTGGCTTCGTATTTCAGTTTTTAGAAATGGAGATTTGGAATTATGAGAAACAACAAGAAATGCCTGCAGAACAAGAAGATTGCGACAAAGAAGAAGCCATCTTTATTGAACAAGTAATCTTAGATGGGGGGGTGGGAAGAAAAGGTGGGGAAAGAGAATGGAAAGTTTAAGATTGGGAAAAACAACTCCAAAAAAAAATAGAGTGAAAAATAAGTATGAAATCAGAAAGCAACAGAAGAGGGAAATGCAGAAGAGAGAATTAGAACTAGAGAGAAAAGGGGGTAAAAAGGGGAGGGAGAAGATGAGAGGGAAGAAAGAAAGGAAAAGAAGTTATAAAGGACAGAAGCAAAATATAGAGAAACAGGGCCTATTTAGAGATAATGGGTGAAAACTTAATGGAAAAAGGGATTCTGCAAAGGTACATAAGATAGTATGGTTATATTAGAAGCAGAAATAATTTTAGAAAATATGGAACAATGTATGATTAAAATGTCTGATAAAATAGCTATCATAATTCAGTGGAATGCTTGTCAATAAATAAATGTAACAAAAGGTATATTTAATGATTTATAAAACATATGTGAAGAGAAATAAGGGAAAAATTAATTATGGAGATTATATGTGTTTTTAAGGAAGTATGATATTTAATTTAAAAGAAGTGTTAAAGATGTTATGGTTTTAATGATTATTAATGATAGAACTGAACTGGAATGGAATGAGAGTTTATAATTACCTATATTTACAATCTTTCTTTTTTTTTGAAAAATATAGTGTGTATTATAAGAATGTGCCAAGCAGAATTCGATTGGAAGTTATGTATTATGTATTATATTGAAGGCCATAAACTTAAGGTATATATTGAAGTTTAAATAAGAGTTGAATGGATGTAATTAAAAGATATAAAGGTGTCATACTCCAATTAGTAACTACAGGAGAAAATTTGTTTATTGAGAAAAGATAATATGAAATTGAAACAGAACAGACAAAAGTATAAATATAATGATTTGAATTGAAGATGAGATAATCAAAATAAAATTGAGAAAATTAAAAGAGGGGAAAAACTATATAGAAAATGTAAAATAGTATAAGATATGGAATAGAATACAAAAACGAGCATGAAATTGAGTTTTGTGTCTGTATAAAGAAGTTCAACCTGGGACCATGCTATTTTCAAAAAAGATGTTTTACTTGTATTTTGTGTGTGAAAACCCAAATAAAACTTTATTAAAAAAAATATTGTGTACTTTGATTGGGATCGTCTGAAATATATGTAGAAATTTTGGAAGAATATTAATTTTAATAGCAGCAATCCTGCCTAATAATGAAAGTTGTGGCTTGCCCCATGTTTCTAAATCCTTCTTTACCTGTTGCATCAATCTGTGATAATTATTTTCCTTAAGTGTCTTTCAATGTGCTGTCAACCATATTCCTAAGTATTTAACTTTCTTTATCACTTGTATTCCCATAACTTCTTCTAGTTCTATTTTCTGTTTTTCTGTTAAATTTTTAGTCATTAATTTTGTTTTCTTCCTATTAATTTTAAGTCCTGCTACTGCTTCAAATTGTTCTAATTATTCATCAATTTTTGTCCTCTTTCTATTGGTTCCTCAATGAAAAAAATCATATCATCCGCAAACCCTTGCAACTTATATTCTTCTTTCTTGACCTTTAATCCTTTTATGTCTGGGTTCTGTCTAATTAGCATTAGTAATGCTTCTAATGATAATATGAAGAGCAGGGGTGAGAGTGACTGCCCTCCCAGCATTTCAAAAGCATGCAAATGTGAGTAGATAAATAGGTACCATTTTATTTGGCAGGTAACAGTATAGCCATGCTGGCCATATGACCACAGACAGTGTCTTTGGACAACACTGGCTCCTTTGGCCAAGTTGAGCACCATGCGCTAGAGACAGACACGACTGGACAGGGAAACTTTTACCTTTATTCTGAAAGGGCTAGGAAAGGGCTGCTTGTCTTTGAGTTTTTTCCCATCTTACATCTTAAATCACTTTTTCATTCTGTCACTTATGAGAGTAACATGGAAAACAGGTCAGAGGCATGAAGTACATTTGGCTTTGTGCATTGAAGTTATTGCTGGGAGCCTGCATAATTTGTGTACAGCTAACCTATAATTAGGAACCAAGGCCAAGAACATATCCTGCCACTTTTGAAATTGGCAGTTTTGTTCCTTGAAACAAGTTGTGCCAGTACACAACGTTCACAGAGTTTGGCTTCCGAATATGTGTGTCTACTACAACATTTAAGTGTTTTTGTTTTCAATCTTGCAGATATTTGATAATGAAGCCAAAGATCTTGACCGAGAAGTCTGCTTCATTGATATTGCCTGTGATGAAATTCCTGAGCGCTATTACAAAGAATCCGAGGTAAATAAAAGACACAATGCTTTTGACTGATATTGTGCAAGTAACTCATGGAACTACTCAAGCTCCCTTGGGGTGAATGTTCCCATTCTGGAGTAGTTCAGCTGTTGTTGTTTTTTAAATCATTAAATATTAGCTGGAACCAAGAAATATTCCTACATATCATATGCAGATTTGTGATAATTTGGATTGTACATTTGTGCTGCATTTAAAGCACGCGAGAAAGACAGTTAGGGCAGACCAAAGGCCTCTCTAACTTCCTGGGACATCAAAGGCTAACTACTATGTCTGGAAAGCACAAAGGCATACCATACATACCATAGCACTGGCTGCCTGGAGTAGGTAGTAAGTTGAATGTTGTTCCTGCAATAGTAATATATACCGTAATTTTTTTGCTCACGATTCCCCAACTGCTTCCTTTTCATCTATTTGCCTTCATGCCATCTACCTGCACTTTTTTAAATAGGTACTCTAGGGTTTGACCTCTTACTTCCTCTATTAAACAAACCTCTTTAGAGTTTCACTCTCATTGGCTTTTACACATTACTCTATAGGTAGTCCTTGACTTACGATCAATCACTTAGCGAACATTCAATATTAAAATGGGCTCCTGTCCTCCCAAAAGGTACTTAGGAGTTGATTTCAAAGTTACAAGGCCACAAACACAAGCATATGGACACACAAGTCACATGATTGCATTTTAAATAGTTGGCAACCAGCTCACTTTTACGGCCACTTGTACATCCCAGTCATATGACCATGATTTTTTTTTTACTTTTTTGCCAATTTCTAGCATTTACTTCCCATTTCCAGTTAAAAAAAACACCCATTGGGGTAAAATTAATTTGCTTAACGACTGTGGTGTTTGTTTAATAATGTTATTAAAAATATTGCCAAATTAGGGCCAGTCACACAATGACCCTCTTAACGACCGCAATGACTTATGGGCTCAATTATGGGCTCAATTATGGTCCTAAGTCAAGGACTACCTGTGCGGTTTAGATGGTGTAGTAATTTAGGAAAGATTTTTCATGATTAGGCATAGCATTTCTCTCCTTTATATCTCAGATGCTGTTCCTGTATGTATGTGTATATTTTAAAAGCAACTCATTAGTGGTATCTAAACTTCATTTATTTATCTAATTTATACAGCCACTTATCCCATCAAAAGTGACTCTAGAATGGCATACAACAAAGTTAAAACTGAATTAATACATAAAACCACTTATCATTATTAATTACAAAAGCATTTAAAAACTTTAAAAAAGAGAGAACAAAACATAGAAATAACAGCAAAGGGAAATTAATAATAACACAGCCACCTCACAAATTCACCATCCCCTGGCTGGGGCTTGCAGGTCTTAAGAATGCTTGGAAACTCAGGAGTGATGAGACCAACCTCACTTTGGGGAAGGGCGGAGGGACAACCAACCCAGAATTAAGGAGAAATTTCCTAAACAGTGAGAACAATCCATCAGTGGAATGGCTTGTCTCCAGTAGTTGTTGGTGCTAGATAAATGGAGGTTTTTCAGAAGAGATTGGGCAGCCTTTTGTCCAAAATGGTATATAGGATCACCTGCTTGAGCAGGGGTTGAACAGAAGACCTCCAAGAATCCCTTCCAACTCTGCACAGCAGAGACCCAAAGACCAGCTGGCCAGTGGGAGGCGCATGCACGAAGGAGCTGAGCTAGGCCAATGGCTTGCATGCCCAGAGAGAGGGCTCCGCATGCCACCTCTGGCATGCATGCCATAGGTTCGCTATCACGGCCTTAGGGGGACTCAAAAATCACATCTTTAAAAAAGATGTAACTATTGGAATTTGACTTCTCGCTCAAGGTCAGTATTCCTATGGTTAGAACTTTTTAAAAAAATATGCTATAACGCCCTCTTATGAGTCTTCTGATATTTTTCATTCTACTCTATAAATATAGATAGATGCCGAGTGTGTTGTGGGACAGCATGCTGTGTTCCTGGCTGGCAAAGGAGATGACCCCGTTTCCAAACTATAGGACCCATTCACTTGCTGGCTGTCTCACATGCAACTTCTATTTAAATGTCTTAAAGGCTTGATATAAGAACCAGAGCTAAGCAGGTTAGCTCTCTTAAAAGAAAGGATGCATTACAGGTAATTCTCACTTAACAATGGCAACTCAGACCAGAATTCCCGTTAGTAAGTGATGCAGTCATAATGAACAATGTTATATGACTACATCGCTTAGCCACGGCAGTCCAGGCAGTCCCCAAGGCATAATAAATTGTTAAGCGCGGACCTCCTTGCAACTTCCTGCCAGCTTCCAACAGGCAAAATCAGTGGAGAAGCTGCAGCTGAGTCCTGTGAAGTAGCTAGTAGTGGGCAGCCAAATGCCTACTGTAACATATGCATGGTGGGGTCAGAGGTAGCTGCTGCCAGTTGCATGAAAGGGCATTGGTAGCCATTGCGGCACCATGCCATTGTGGCCAGGCATGTATGAACTGTAAAGTGTGGGCTAGGAGATGCTATGGCTGTGCACCATGGAGCTATTCCGTAGTTGGGAGTCCCTGGCAGAAAAAGCAGTGAAAGTGGAAACAACTTAAAGGAGCAACTTGCAATCTTCTCTGTCAGTTTCCCCATTGACTTTGCTTCTAGGAAGCCAGCAGAGAAAGTCACAAACAGCAATCGTAAGACTGCAGGAAACTGCAACCATCGTAAGTGTGAGCCACTTGCCAAGACTCCAGGTTGTGATTATGTGAGTGGTGTGTGTGTGTGTCTGGGACAGCCAGAACTTTGAGGACTATTGTTCAGTGCCTTCATAACTTCAAATGGTTGTTGAACAAGTCGTTAACCAAGGATTACCTGCACAGCAGTAGGAACACAGTCAGTCCCTTTACTATTAAAACAGCTTTATGGCTCTCTCCTGGTAGAAAAAAGAACACCTGAGTCCTCTACTGCCTCTTGAACACAGAGGAAGGAGAGAAGGCATTCTGGAGATAGGTCATCAAATTTTTGCTGAACTCATAGTTGCTGAAAATAGCCAGAAATAGTCAAATAGTCTTTCCTTCCCTCCTTCCTTCCTTCCTTCCTTCCTCCCTCCCTCCTTCCTTCCTTCCTTCCTTCCTTCCTTCCTTCCTTCCTTCCTTCCTTCCTTCCTTCCTTCCTCTTAATTGCCACTCCAAACATTGGAATCTGAATGGCATGTTGTCCAGCTTCTCATAGTTGGCAAACCAACGAAACAAAAAAATCACTCAGATTTCAGAAAGGCCTCTTGGATGCTAGTCTACTAGATACTAATCTTGAAAACTGGAAGACTACATTCTCAGCCAGACTTACTATGAGTTCCCTAATGTGGAATCTTTTTAAAGCACTTTCTTTCCAGAGCTTTTATAACTGGATTGTGTTGCCTCTTCTCCTATGTACTAAACCTCTTGCTCCTTGGTTTCCTTCACACAGTCTCACACACCTAAACTCCCAATATAATATTTGGATTAAAACAGTAAACATGACATAGATATTGCTGCTAGCAATCAGTCACAAAGAACATTCCTTCCTGCTTTCCAAAACTTGATAGGATACAGAAGTTCAGCTTTTGTAACAACAGTGCTGCGCTACTGTACAGATGGCAGTAGCCCTCTGAGAAAGGCGCTAACAAATACACATTCTTTATTTGCAAAAACTACCCAAAAGTTTTAACCTTTTGGTTTTTTTCTCCACAATTTGCTTTAAGGAACCAAATAAAGATAATGTTCCTGCTTTCCTTGTGTTTGCCCTGTTTTATGTTGCTCCTCCCATGAGGACTGTGTAATACACATTAACTACACTCCTGTTCACTAGAAATGTTATTTAATTGTTTCTAAAAAATTTATTGCTGTCGCAAATACACTCCTATGTTTTTCTTCAGCCACAAGGAACTGCATGAAAATTCCATTTGAAAAGATAAAAGCTTCATTTCCAATAACGATAAGGCTATCATAAAAATGTTACAACAGTAGCTTGATGAAGTCAACTCAGATCTCCCAATTTAGAATCTTGATTTATTCACCCTTCATAGTCTAAGCTATAAACAAGAAATGCGCATAATAGGAAATATCAGAGGCGTGTGTCTCCTCCAGGCTAGATTCTAGCTGAATATGCTTACCAGATGCAAACAGACAGAGGCTATTCACTAATAAAAGGAAGAAATCCTGCAGTAAAATTCTACTTTGTAGATGTAATACAACTAGTCCTCAACTTACGACCACCATTGAACCCAATTTTTTTGGTGCTGAGGGAGACAGTTGTTAAGTGAGTTTTGCCCCATTGTACACCCTTTCTTACCACATTTGTTAAGTGAACCACTGCAGTTGTTAAGTTAACAAACACAGTTGTTAAGTGAATCTGGTTTCCTCATTGACTTTCCTTATCAGAAGATTGCAAAAGTTGATCATGTGATCCCGGGACATTGCAACGGTCATAAATATGAGTCAGTTGCCAAACATCTGAATTTTGATCACGTGATCCTAGGGATGCTGCAGTGATTGTAAGTGTGAAAAAGGATCATAAGGCATTTGTTTCATTGCTGTTGGAACTTCGAACGATCACTAAATGAATTGTAATTTGAGGACTACCTGTATTTCATTATTATTTTTGTCTAGATTAGTAGATTCTATATCACAGATTTGCAAGTTTCCAAAGCAATTTGTCAGGTGCCTTAGGTTGCAATATGTGGATGTGGATGTATGTGTGTGTGTGTGTACTGACACCCATATACACACATACATACATTCCCTTAGGCATACAGAGTTTTTCTTGTGATATTACTGGTACCATTTATATCCCTAAGCCTTCAAGAGCAGTGAAATTTTTTAGTCTCGTTAAAAGTTTTCTCACATACATGTTTTTCACTGTGTTCTTTCCCTATTTGTCCTAAGGTACCTGTGAAAAGCAAAACAACCCTCTAACATTTAACTTAAGGTTCGCTTTATAATTGTTCTGCAAATGCTACGTTAAATACCTTTTTAAATACCTTTTTCAATCACTCGTGTTAGAATTCTCCTTTGTTCCCTTTTGGGCTTCAGTCAAACATAATTTATGTGGCAAACTCATTTCGATGGAATAATTTTCCTTCCAAATAGCACAAATTGCTCCATGTTTTCAGTACATTGTGATGCCAAGCACAGGATGTTTTAAAATAGCACTTTCAAGCCTTGATGCGCTGCTTATCTGCGCTTTATTTGCTTTGGAATCAAAGGGAGGAAAAAAAGAAGCTGCCAAATGTAATTATTTTTGGTGTGGGAGTGGAGGAGAGAAGTGTGCCAAATATATTTTGGAAAACCTACTTCCAAATACATTGAAGAAGCTCTTTTAGATTGTCAGGATTATGAATGAGATGAGCAGTTGGAGAATGGAAAGCAGAGAATTATCTGGTATCAAAACTACCCCAACTAGTTGCAAATCTTCCTGAAATATCAAAATTAAAATGTGCAATACATTATCCATTATTTAAGTAGGTTAAACATTTCTTACTCTGCCCCAAATGAATACATACATTTAAAACAGAAGTAATATTGAGGATAGGATAATTTTTATAGCAATAACATGAGGCAGGTTTGGCGAGGGATTCAACAAATTACAAACTATCAATCGACCAATGTCATCCCTGGTGTGGGGGATGACTCATTGGCTGAGGAACTGAATCATTTCTTTGCTCGCTTTGAAGTGGAGACATCAGAGACAGATAAAATACAACGAGCCAATTGTAGCCCCCACCTCATTGTGGAGGAACAGGAGGTGAGGAGCATTCTGAGGGCTGTGGACCCTAGAAAGGCTGCCGGTCCTGACGGTATCTCTGGCCGAGTGCTTAAAGACTGTGCTGATCAGTTGGCTGGAGTCTTTACCAGGATCTTCAATCGGTCTTTATCCCGGTCCACTATTCCATCTTGTTTGAAGGCTTCCACCATTGTTCTGCTGCCAAAGAAGTTCCCCATCAATAACCTCAACGATTACAGACCAGTGGCACTTACTCCTATCATCATGAAGTGCTTTGAGAAATTGGTCTGCCGGCACATCATTTCTGGTCTTCCACAAACATTTGATAAACATCAATTTGCATACAGAAGAAATAGATCTACAGAGGACGCTATAGCCATCACTCTTCACACTGCTCTGACTCATCTAGAACAGCGGGTGGGCTATGTGAGGATCCTTTTTATAGCTTTTAGCATTTAACACAATTCTTCCACATAGACTAGTGTCCAAACTTTGGGACATTGGCCTTTCTTATTCAATCTGACTTTGGATTATGGATTTCCAGTCTGGCCACTCACAGCGGGTCAGATTAGATAATCATACCTCTTCAGGCCTTATTCTTAACACTGGTACACCCCAGGGTTGCATGTTGAGTCTCTTACTCTATACTCTTTATGTGTATGACTGCATTCCCACTCATGCTAGTAATACTATTGCTAAATTTGCAGATGATGCAACAGTGGTGGGACTCATCTCCAGGGGGGCAGGGGTGAGTCTGCCTACTGAGATGAGGTGGACCGGTTGCTTTCGTGGTGTGGAGACAATAACTTGGTCCTCAACACCAATAAGACCAAGGATCTTATAGTGGATTATATAGAAGGAACAGATCAGACATCCAGGCCTTGCTTATCAATGGAGACCGAGTGGAGCAAGTGGCCAGTTTTAAGTTTCTAGGTGTTACCATAAAAGAGGACCTGACCTGGGGTGCCCACATTTCAGCACTGGTCAAAAGGGCCCAGCAGAGATTATACTACCTGAGATTTCTCAGAAAACAACAACTGAATGGAAAACTGCTGCTGACCTTCTACTGCTGCACCATAGAGAGCATTTTAACATACTGCACCTCTGTATGGTTTGCCAATTGCACATTGGCAGATAAGAAAGCACTCCAGAGGGTTAACCTCATTGCCCAGAAGATCATTGGTTGCCCTCTCCCCTCTTTGGAAGAGCTTTATATCTCCCGCTGCCTTAAGAAAGTTCAAAATATTCTCAAAGATCCATCTCATCCTAGGAACCCTTTTTTTGAACTATTACCATCTGGCAGACGGTACAGAATAATAAAAACAAGGACAAATAGGCTGAAAAACAGCTTCTATCCCAGGGCAGTAGCTCGTTTGAATTCTGCTGTATAGTGCAGTATTGGTGCAGTGTCAGGGGGATTCGGTTCAATGTGTGTGGGGTGAAGGATGTCTGTGTGTGTTTATTTTCATGGTCATAATGTGCACTGAAGATGGTGTTTGATTTTGTTGTACAAGGTGCAATGACAATAAAGTAAACTAAACTAATATTTGATGGAAGCTTATTAGAATGTGTTCATTTTTAGCCTATATTTATAATTTTGAACTGGAATACCAACACCCAATCAGCATCCTGCCTCTGCCCTGATCTTTGTACAGCTTAACATAACTATACTATGTATGCTAAACATTGCAAAGCTATTTTTATTTGATACCCAAGGAGATATAGGTAGTCTTTGACTTATGACCACAGTGGAGCCTGGAATTTTGATCATAAAACATTGTGATCTTAAGTCAAGGCATCATTTGACCGGACTTGATTTTACAACCATTTTTACAGAAAGTCATTAAGCAAATCACATGGTTGTTAAGCAAATATCAGGCCCTAGCCCAAGACACTGGGAGCTTCACTTGGGTTCATGTATCAGGTATAAGAAATTAGGAACCAGGACAGAACTTCAAGTTTATTTCATGCTACCTATAAACAAAAATCTGAACTAGTAATGGTCAAGGCAAATTGGTGTCAGATAGGAATCAACAGACTTCAACGGCAGTTGGACATAGGTCTCTTACAGGGATATAGTGACTCCAAACAGATTCATGGGTTTGAGTCCCACCCTTGGGCTCTGCCTCATCATCTCCTACATCATGTCAGGCACATCCGCACGTGAAGATTTATTGATGTATTACTATAGCCTGTGTGCAAGAATCGTCTCACCCGACAATCAACACCAACTCCAACAGTTCAGTTATTTATTTGCTTACACCTTCATTTCATTTCATGTATGTGGCTGCCAAACTCCCAAATGTAATTTAGAGAGAATGTTATATGAGAAAAATGCTTCAATTATGTCTGAAGAATAAGGTTTGGGATTAATACAGTTGTTTTGTTAAAATCTTCAGTCTGCTTCTCCAAGCAACCAGCTTCCAGCCCTAATATTAATAAATATGGAAAAGAAACATGAAGTGAACATTTTTCCTGAGATGGATAGAAATAAGTTTGAGAAGTCCCGTTCTTACTAGTATAGGTAGTCCTTGACTTACAACAGTTCATTCAGTGACCATTGGAAGTTACAACTTGTGACCGTTTTTCACACTTACGCCCGTTGCGGCATCCCCATGGTCATGTGATTAAAATTCAGACACTTGGCATTTGACTCATATTTATGACAGCTGCAGTGTCCTGGGGTCATGTGATCGCTTTTTGTGACCTTTGACAAGCAGAGTCAATGGGAAAACCAGGTTCACTTAACAATCGTGTTACTAACTAAACAACTGCAGTGATTTACTTAACAAATGTGGCAGGAAAGGTTGTAAAATGGGGTAAAATTCATATAATGAATGTCTCAAGTAGCAACAGAAATTTTGGGCACCATTGTGGTTATAAGTCAAGGACTACCTGTAACAAAAAGTGGGTTTTTTTCCTCCCAAAGGTAGACTTCAGTCTTAACTAGGCTGCTCATTCAGTCTTCTTGTTTTCAATAGGATCCTAAATGCTTCAAATCAGAGAAGACTGGGAGAGGCCTATTAAAAGAAGGTTGGAGAGAAACTCAAGACCCTATTATGTGCTCCTACAAACTTGTATCTGTGAAATTTGAAGTATGGGGACTTCAGACTCGAGTCGAGCAGTTTGTTCACAAGGTGAGTAAAGGGCAGTGTCTGCAGATTTTTCCCTCCTTTACCTATCTTGTACAGCTTTTATGTAGAGAAAATGGTGGCAAGCTGAAGGGTCAGCAATGAGCATTATACACAAAGTTGATGTGATTATATTTATAAATGTTCACAATGACTTACTCTGACTTCTAGTCACTTTCTACTTACTTTGGCATCAGACTGCCTTGCCAACTCTAACGCTCCCTTGTGATCCTGTGATGTAGGCCTCATATCAGCCCATGATATAAACAATCCTGACAGTTTTTTGTAGACCACAAATAAACCAAATAATTTTTCCTGTTTAATCCACTACAGGGCTATGGCATATACATTTCATTCTGATTTCTCACAGTTCCAAGGGAAGTGCATCCCCATGACTAGTTTTGCTCAGTCATTGATTAATTCCTAAGGGAAGTATCAGGATTTTAGGAGAGGGAGAGAAAGAGACAGGAAATTCATGCCAATCATCCTCAAAATAGTTGCTCTACCACAATTTGTTTGTTAGTCAGCCAGGAAACAAGAAGACCCAGGGTACATATTGCTATCTTGCCAAGATATTGTAAAGCTACAGAAAGGGCTGAGGTCTTAATGTGTAAAACACCACCAAAACTGAAACAGAGTATGCATGACATCAGGATTGCAATAAATTGATTCAAGCATTAAACACAACCACAAAGAATATCTACTAAAGGTTAACAATGCAAAAAAAGCAGGAAATCGTGTGTACATTTATTCCAAAATATAACATGCTTTAACCATAATGAGAGTGATTTCCATGAAAATCTACATGCTTTATACCATGATGTTGCAAATCTCGGCTCAGTTGAGTTGCATCATAATAATTTCTATATGAAAATAAATCCACTGAGATTTCATCGAGTGGTGTATAAGGGCAAGAAAGAGAGGAAGAAGAGTTAAGGATGGCAAAATTAGAAGCAACAATCAGAAGGCAAGGAATGATTGACTCAGAAAAAGAAACAATGGAACTATGAAACAATGCCAACAAAAAGAAGTTAGGGCAGGAGCTGAAGGGGAAAAATTCAGACTGAAATTAATTATGTCCTTCTGAAAGCTCATAACAAGAGAAGCAATTATCTGGTATCACTTACTTTTCCAGAATTCAGAATTTCATGTCGTTCTGAAGGTACGGAATCAAAATAATTAAGATTTCTTTTAAAAAGGAAAGAGAAAATACTTCTAAAATGTCAAAGCAAATCATGACTCCTGTCCTGGAGGTCACCTACAGCCTTTGTCTTCTCCATGAATTTACCTAATCCATTTTTAAGCTACCAAGTTGTTAGGCACCACCCACCCATTGAGTAGAGAATTGACAAATTAAGCTGGCCACATTTGAGTCATCATCCTGTAATTAGAGAAAAATAAATTATCTTTGTCCATTTTCTCTGTACAACACACATTTTCATTGAATGCTATTTCCTTTTACGTATTTCTTAAAAACAATTAAGTTGTACAGTTGAAGTATTTATCGTCAAGGAAGTTGTGCCAGTTCTTTGGCTCTAATCCCATCAGATTAGCTTTATCCTATTGACAGAATACACAATTTATTAGAAAAAGCTTTCTTAGAGGCCCTATCAATTTACCAACCCTAATTTTCTTCCAAAATTGCATAATTAACACTTTCTTGGGTAGTTTCTGCTCACAAGCACCATGGCTGCTGACCCACCGTAGCACTTTTTAAAATTCTATTTTGACAGAAACCTGCATGAAGGTTTGAATGAACACATGCAAATGAAACTAAGCAACATTTCTCTTCCCTTTGATGCTTTTGATGTGCATGAAAGAGAAAGATAAATCCTTCGCTATGTGTTTACTTGCTAATGTAATCTGCTTGTAATTTATGTCCTCAAATTCTGCACAATTTTTGGCTTATATTAGATGGAAGGTCTGAAACAGACAAAGAACAAAATGGAAAAGGAAATTCTGCAGAATATAAGAGGATATGGATGTTATTTTCAGGGAATGCAGGACTGATGATTATTTGCATCTAACTGAAGTCCTAACATGGAGTCTATCCTGATAATAAATCTGATAAATCTATCCTGATGATAAACAGCTGTTCTGTGTTTCTCAAAGATAGTGAAATTCACTTTTTATAAATTATGCCCCAATTCTTGACTTGCTTTTTGAAGATGAGGTTGCCTAGAGTCTAAATGCCCCATTTTAATACCCTCCCCCAGGATTTAGAAGCAAAGCTAAATATATCAGGAACCATGTTGCTTTGTTTTAAATAGAAATATTTAACATTAAGTAAAACATTGCACCCTATCTACTAAAATCTTGGTATATAAGTACAAGTAGTTCTCGACTTACCACCACAATTGAGCCCAAAATTGCTAAGCAAGACAGTTCTTAAGTGAATTTAGTCCCATTTTGCAATCTTCCTTGCCATGGTTGTTAAGTGAACCACTGAGCTTTTAAGTCAGTAATACAGTTGTTAAAGGCATCTGGCTTCCCCATTGATTTTGATTGTCAGAAGGTCACAAAAAGTGCTTACATGACAGTACAGCCATCGTAAATACATGCCAGTTGCCAAGTGTCTGAATTTTGATCACGTAACCACGGAGAAGCTGTGAGAGCCCTAAATTACCTTTTTCAATTCCATTGTAACTTCAAACTGTCATTAAGCAAATGGTTGTAAGTTGAGGACTACTTGGGATCCAGTAGATGAGAATGCAATGCATGCTGTTAGTTTATGAGCCATTCGTCAAAAGTTGCCTGCTGCCATGACCCTAGTTCTCTTCTACTCAACTGTACGTGGCAGGTGCATGTTTTTCCATCTAGCTACTCAAAGATAATGTGCACTTCTTACTGCACAAACCTTGCTCACTTTACTGCTACTACTTGCTATTGTTTTTTTGCTACCTTCCTCACTTCTCTTCCCCCTCTTCTTCCCCACCGTTCTCCTATTTACTTTTGTATTTTGTACCTTATTTTATCTTATAACTCAATAAAAATGTTAAACCAAAAGAATTATCATTCACCACAATGTGAGAAATGGGAAAGTAAGCTAATGGTAAGTCTGTTAAGGGGTGTTTAGTTCTAGCTGCAAAATCACTTGTTGGGATGGGAGAATTATCCAAGGCTTGCAGAAAAGATATTTTCCAATAAGATGCCAGGGATATCGAGGCAAAATCAGCCTATGATCCCCCGTATCTTTTTGATACCTTCCTAACTTCTCATGGGGGCAAACAGTTGAATAGCAGAGACATACTATAATTGTCACACACACACACACACACACACACACACACACACAAACCCCAATAGAGTAGGACTCTTAAGCTTCTGATAATTTGAAAATGCCAATTTTATAGAATTTTTCAACAGCTTTGCCACAATGCAAAGAGTAAAATCGGGTGCTGCACTCTAATGGCTTCACCTTGTTACCACCTTGCCCTCTGTGGCTCTTGAAGATGGAAAAGAAAAAAGAAAAACAATTGAAAAAGTGGGATCTAGGCTTCAAACAGCTTGTCACTTGGTTCTAGTTGTGAGAATTCTCTTAGGTTGCCTACAATCTTCAGGACCCTGGGAGAGGAATGTTTTCCTGTTGCTGACCTTATTCAAGCAGAGCTGCTGTTGCTGCTGCTGTTCCTTCCCAGGATGGTAAGGAATAGAAAGGATAAAATATTTGTCAGAAGATTTAAGTGTGTGTTTGTGTGTGTGTGTGTGTGTGTGTGTGCGTGTGTGTGTTGGTGGGGGCATCAAAGGAGAGCACAAAAACCAAACTTAACCACCTGACTTGCACACTGTAAACAATGTGAACAACTGCTGGGAAGCCAGAGGCCATGAAGGAGAAATTGAAAATGGGATTCTCAGAAGCAGAGATAGAATTGTGCAACAAATGAACTCTGGCATAAAAACCACAATTGGGACAGCCAGGCAAGACACAGTAAGCTCAAAAGGAACCCGCTGCTCCAACTTAAGTATATTGAATAACATTACAGGGAGTCCTTGACTTACGACCACAGTTGAACCCAAAATTTATGTTACTAAGTGAGAAATTTGTTAAGTGAGTTTTGCTCCATTTTACTTCTTTTTCCTTGGCCACGTTTGTTACTACAATCACTGCAATTATTAAGTCACTAACGCCTTTGTTAACTTTCCTATTGACTTTACTGGTCATAAGGTCACAAAAGGGGATCACATGACCCGAGGACACTACAACCGTCATAAATATGAATCAGTTGTTAAGCATCCAAGTGTAAATCACATGACCACTGGGATGCTGCAAGGGTCATAAATGGGAAAAATGGTCATCAGCCGTTTTTTTCAGCGCCATTTTAACTTTGAACGGTCACTAAACTGTTGTAAGTCTAGGACTACCTGTACTCTACTCTCTAGCCCTGAGTTTCATGGGTTTCTTTCTTCCTGAGGGATTCCAAAGACCATTCCTGAGGCTTTCAGAGACTTTTAAGTGATCCTGATACTCTCATGTTTTTTTTACCTCTACCACACACTATTCTTTCTGGCTCTTGTCCTCTCAAGTCTTTTTTAAATCTTTCTTAATTCTCCTAGGTGGTCAAAGACATATTGCTAATTGGTCACCGACAAGCATTTGCGTGGGTGGATGAGTGGTATGGTAAGTCATGTATTTTTAAAAGATAACTATTTAGAAGCACAAGAACTATTTCAGACATGTACTGATTGGCCTGTTTATTTTTTATTCAAGTTGTTTTTATTAGAAAAGTTAAGATGGAGGAGAGCGTGTTCTATCTTTCAGACAAAATGCTAAGAATTTTAGCATGTTTATACTTGTTTGTAGCTCTGGGTACAATCCTGCTGCAATGTTGGCTTCATAATTTTATCAAATGTGTACTTTAGTATCTGTAACTTTAAGTAACAAGCTTAATTTGAATTAAATTCTAAATCTATCTGGTTCAAATCTAACGTACCTGTTTTAAAGAGTAGTACCAAACTTCACATTGTGATATTAAAAACATAGCTTGCATTTCAGTACCAGCCCCATGATGTAATGGCTAAGATGTGTCCTAGGAATAGTTTCAAATATGTCCCCAGTCGTGGAAACTCAACACATAGATGAGTTTCAGCCAATCAGTCTCTCAACTAATCTGTCTTAAGGCTAGGAAATTTTTGTGAGGATGAAATGAAGGGAGACAGTAATATGGGTGGCCTTGAGTGCTTAGAGTAAAGGAGAAATTGAAACAATTAATTGTGTTAGGGATATCCTTGCCAAGCAACAATTCTGCAGAAGTTTCCACTTCTCCAAAATAGAGACAGGCACACATTTCAAGTTTATGGCTTTCTTCCAAGCTCCAAACCATAATTCTGTATTGTTTCTCTCCTAGTTCATAATGTTCACTGCAGTGCTGAATAAGGGCTTCATGGATCAGAAAAATTGAGGATTGTGAAATGGGTTGAAAAACTCATTTAATGGAGCCAATTTAAATCTACTGATTTGTTGCGGTGGATGATATAAATATACATCGGTATAAATGCAATAAACCAATTAAATAAGTAAGCTGTAAACTTATATTGTAAAGAGATATCAGGATAGAGGAAAGAGATATCAACTATAAAAATTAGCATAATGATTAAATTGTAAACTTCAGTACAGTTAATATTATTTTATATTAGATAACTTTATTTTTTCTTTAATAAAACAAAAAAGTTATTCACTGTAATAAATATTTGAAATCAATCAAGTTCCTATTTGTTTAACTTAGGAAACATGAAATAGGGAAAGGAGAATGAAATTAGTCTGGACGTCTGGAAAGTTGAATTTTTGTTCCATTAAATGCACTGTGATCAATAATAAGACTTATTCAGATTTATAATTGAGCCTCCCAGCCAGCCTTTATTATCCAGACTTGAACCACTTTTCAAAGATTAAAATTTCATTTAGTTATAAAAGGATAAATCTTTAAAAGGAAATATCACTGGAGTTTGTTTCTCTCATGAGAATAACTTTCCACTGTTTTACCATTTGACGTAAATGTCTTGTTGCAAAAAGTTCCAAATGGCCTTTTGTTTTAGCTTTGAAGAAAAGTAGCAGGTTGCCCATTTCTTACAACTGAGTCCCCTGTGATAATGGTGCTAATAACTTTTTGGCAGGCCCCAAATTGTTACTGTAAATACATGAGACTCATGAGTGCTGCAATGGGTGTGAGGCCTTCTGGTGCACTTACATTTTCCTGACAGCTCTGCATTTGGATTGTTATTGTTGAATAACAGTAGATGAATATATAAAATTAGAACATTTTACAACTTTGACCAGTCTTCAATATTTCTTCAGCATGGGAAGCATATGTTTCTTAGAGGTATCAAATGATTTCCCTGGACTAATATAGAACTGTCCAGGTTCTAATTTATTTTAAAATATACATTTTGTTGATACAAAGGCTTCATCTTCTAATTGCAGACTAATCCTCAATCCTAAACTTGTTTACAAAGACCTGTTGCCATGATTTTACTGTTACTTACTATCCTGTAGACATGTGTAAGATTGTTGACTAACACACCGTTCGCTTTGCCATAAGGCAGCCTTCTTGCATTAACTTCAGTATTGCTAATGAAGAGCATGAATACTGCTTGGCAGAAATGCTTTTGATCATGCCGGTCCCATTGCTTAGAAGCTTCTTTGATGAGTGCCTTTTAATGTCCTTAATTTTAAGTGAGGAAAAAAGGAAAACATGATGATAATATGTGAATCATATAAGTATTAATGGAACGTATTATGAGAGTTGAATTACTAGAATGTGCTAAAACAGGAAAGTGCTAAAAAAATATATAATTTAATGGCGTCTACTGCAATATAAGAACACTCTTTCCTCCAAAGAAGAAAATAGAATTCAATGTTCACATGATCCTGTAGATATTTTTAATATTGTTCATATATTCATGTTTCCACTCTTGTGGGAGAACTGGATTGTGTATATTTCAACTGGATAGCCTTATGATAAAAAAAAATGAAGAGATACTGATGGTTGCTTGACTTTTAAAGCATTAAAAAATTTCAGTTAATCTATTGCTCACCAGTACTCTGCTATTAACATGATTCAATATCCTCTACAATCTAAGCCAGGTAGTGTTGAAACAATTTAATATATTGATGGGGAGCATAATGTTATTTAAAGTAGTGCTCTATAATTGTGTTGCAAAGTTCCTGACAAGGTAAGTCGATTTTTGAGCTGTTCTTTAACCCTTTCTCTTTTTTCCACCAGGAAATCTTCTAAATTTATTTTAGAAGATGTCTGCCTTTGGCAAAGCCTGCACCCTGCACTTTTCTTGCCTAGCTCATTTCACAGAAATAACCACTTTCCAAATCCTTACACTGTGATTCCTTTTAACCGATCCTTCTTATAACTTACTTCCTTGGCTGGTTTATCTAGCTATTTGCCTACTGATACCCAAATTGGCTTCCTGCTTTGTGGCTTTTGCTAGGAAGAAATTGAGTTTGAATTAATGGAAGGTCCCATCATCTTGAACTTTTTTCAGATATGACTTTCGAGGATGTTCGAGATTATGAGAAAAATATGCATGAAAAAACGAACATTAAAGTGTGCAATCAACATTCATCTCCTGTGGATGAAATAGAGAGCCATGCCAAAGGAAGTGTATGTAGTGCCTTTAAAAATATTGCCCACCATCTCCTAATGCAAACAAGGAACAGAACATGCTGTGCTTTAGGAGATTGCTATGGAGGTCACTGCAAATGCCTGCCTCTTTTATGCCATTTTCCCTATCAAGTTCTGGAAGGATCAACACAAGCTTGAAAAGGGTTTTGCAAGCTAATATATTTTGGTGGGTTGGCTCAGCGTAGAAGCCTGAGAGAGAGAAAGATACTGTATAAATATATATATGCATTTCGGTGTATAATTTTTGCTTAAAAATTGAATTCTTCTTATTTTCTGAGCCGGCTGGACAAAGGCGCTGATGTCTTGTTTTCCAGAACATTTCTTTTCTCTTTTGTCAAAAGAGTCTCTCATTGTCTCTCATTTTAACAATGGGATATTTTTTAAAAAATAAAATAAAATTAAGGGGCTTAAGATGTATGTGTTTGAAATAAAACAAAAAATTGGTGCTCTCTTGAACGAACTTTCTGCTAAGCTTAAAAAAAATAGACACGACAGAGTGAATGGCATTTGAGTTGCTGATTACTGATTACTGCTGATCCTTGAATTATGAATCAAAAATAAACCCAAGGGATGATGCATTGCATGTCCGTACACATCTTTAGCTGCAGTGAGTTATCTCCAAGGAAAATGAAATTGTCAGGTTAGACTTAACTGAATGTACCATGTGGCAGTTTTGTCTCTGTTCTCTCTGCCTATTGATGGAACAATCCTTTATGTGATCAATTAGATCAGATTCAGGCAATTAATATCCCAATGATACAGTTTTCTTTAGAAATAGATAATATCCTGGTTCAGATCGCTGAACTAGGACCAGGACTTCTTTAAATTTTGGTTTATTCAACAAGCTATAATGGTACAGTTTGTTGGCATATAATACTCAGGCATAATGGATGGGTTCATTCTTCATACCATGCCGAGAAATAATTAAGCAATAATGTTTTTTTATGTACAAATCAGGCTGCTATTTTATGCAAGTGGACACTATCACTTTCTCATTCCATTAAAATTACTGCATTTCACTCAAGTAGCAGTGATCAAATAGGAAAAGGAAATGGAAGTGGCACTTTCATCTCCAAGGAAAAAAAAGTATTAATTGGGGAAAAGTAAACTCTCCTTCAGTCAAGCTCAGCTCTGGATGACTTCATAGATAAGATTCTTGGCAACAGTACAGAAGCATTTTGCCATTGCCTTCTTCACCATTTTTTTTAAACCATCCATTATAGTTTCCTGGTTTTTCTTACACTCCCCCATCCAAAAACTAAGCAGGTTTAACCCCATTTAGTTTTTGGAAATCTAATAAGTGTAACTGCTGGTAGATGGTAAGGGCCAGCTGGATACTGGAATAGACAAAGAATAAATTGTTTAATGGTGATTGCAAAAAAAATTCCAAATTTTCATATTAAATAAGAATGCACCTTTTATGTTCCCTTTTTACATACAGGTAGTCCTCAACTTACAACCACAATTGAGCCCAAAATTTCAGTTGTTAAGTGAGACATTTGTTAAGTGAGTTTTGCCCCATTTTACGACCTTTCTTGCCACAGTTATTAGGTGAATTGCTGCAGCTGATAAGTTAGAAACCAGGTTGTTAAGTGAACTGGGCTTCCCCATTGACTTTGCTTGACAAAAGGTTGCAAACCTTAGGACACAGCAATGGTCATAAGTATGAGCCAATTGCTAAGCATTTTGGATCACCTGATCATGTTACTATGAAAAACAGTCATGTCACTTTTTTCAGTGCCACTATTACTTTGAATGGTCACTAAATGAACTGTTGATAGTCAAGGACTATCTCTGTTAAGATCTCACATGGTAAAAAGGAAATAATCCTCAAATTAGGCTGTTATCAAAACTAGAAAAAATGGAAAGGATAGCTCTTCCCCTGCTAGCCCTTGACATAGAGCGGGCGGGAGGAACAGGGACAAGAAATCTTAACATTCGTTTTGGCATAAATGTTCAATAAACGAGGCACTGGAAGTCTACATAGACACATGGTCAAAATTCAGATGCTTGGCACCTGATTCATATTCATATGGTTGCATTATTCAACTTTTGTGACCTTCTGACAAGCAAAGTCAATATGGAAACCAGATTCACTTAGCCACCATGTTATTGACTTAACAACTGCAGTGATTCACCTAACTGTGGCAAGAAAACAAGATCGTAAAATGGGGCAAAATTCATTTAAGAAGCGTGTTGCTCAACAACAGAAATTTTGGGCTCAGTTGTAGCTGTAAGTCGAGGAATAGCTGTAAATATCAAGAAAGCCAGTCTTATGGTACGTTTCCATTACCATGCTTCTCTCTTGCCTTTGTCATGACTTCAGCCATTAATCCAAGTTATTGAGGAGCCACATAATGCTGATATCAGTAACCAACTGCTCCTTTTTAAGTTTTTCGCATGTCACACTATTCATCTCCCAGCAGTGATGAGTGGTAATTTAAAACTTTACTAATTAGATTTTCTCCAAGTGTATGGTTTCAAAAAACTCTTAACAACCATTTGTTTGTCATTTGTGTTTGAACTTCTCTTAGTTACCTTCCTTAGGAATCCATGCTCACTGCAGGAAAGTTGAAACTCAAAGGAAGCTGGAATTTCTTGTGAATAAAGAAACTCTTCCCTAATATTCAAAACATTAACCTGGCTTAAAGTGCAGAACCCTCAAATGACCTTTTGCTGAACCCATCTTGAATCTTGAATTGTTAGAAGGAAAAAAACCAAGGAGATATTTACTCTATGAAATTTGTAATGTATGTTTAAAGAAAACACACATTACAACAAAGTAACTCTGCCCTCTGGTGGAATTATTCAAGATGTAATATTTTATGTATCTGAATAAAAATCCAAGATCTTTCAGTTAGGTAAAGACTCTGACCTGATCGTTACAGCATCCCCATGGTCACATGAACAAAATTCAGGAGCAGCGATTTGCTTAACTGTGGCAAAAAGTTGTAAAATTAGGCACAACTGCCTTGCATAGCAACAAAAATGTGGGATTCGGTTGTGGTCATAAGTCAAGGACTACCATAATTCTGGAAATAAACAAATGTTGCTATCTTAAGTTTTTCGCTCATTGTGAAAAAAATAGTTTAGTTTTGCAGTCTCAGACTCTTCTTTCAGTTCTTAACAGTGAGATGAATGCTGTTCAGAGGTGGCTCCTGAGATTTCAGCAGTACTTCTGAACTAGTGGCCGTAGTTCCTCTTAAGTAGATACGCACGCTGACAGGCATGACTCCTTAAAGACAAAATACCCCAATAAAGCTTTGCGCTGATGCCAATTTGCACAGTTGTCCTAACCCATTCTTTCTTTCCTTTTCCTTGAAGACATGACTATGGATGAAGTCCGAGAATTTGAACGAGCAACTCAGGAAGCCACCAACAAGAAAATTGGAATCTTCCCTCCGGCGATATCCATCTCGAATATCTCCCTTCCCTCTTCAATCCGCAGTACTCCTTCTAGTGCTCCGTCTACACCTCTGTCCACAGACGCACCAGAATTCCTAGCGGTTCCCAAAGATCGTCCGCGGAAAAAGTCTGCCCCAGAAACTCTCACATTGCCAGATCCAGATAAAAATCCTCTCTAAACCCAGCATGGCTTTCTCTCCTTATGACAAGCTATGACTGACAGAATATCATTTGCAAATTTCATGGTAGTTGTTTTGGTTTAAACAAATATTGATCTGGAATCATGTGTTTCCCATCCCCCCATTCCCTTAGGCTTCCCCTGAAACTAGTTAGCTAAATGCATGCAAGGTCATAGTTCATGTGCTCTGATTCCCAAACTAAAGCTGTAAGCCATAATGACAAATGTTGCTATCAACCCAGAATGAAGTAGCTTGTAAAAAAAAAAGCAGTCTCTTGTAGTGATGGCTGCAAGCAGAAGATCTAAAATTGCAGTGTTGATGACTGAAGGGGGTTACAGGGATTTGATGAAGCTGGCGAGGACATCCTGAGAGAATGAGGTTCTCCTTAGCTAGATTTCTCATTTCAAGCCATTATATCTCCATTTCTGAAATCCTTTTTTACTCTCAGGCCGAATGCACCTTAAAGTAAACCTTGGAACTGCTGATTCACTGATCAACACTTGAATACTAATAGATTCAGATTCCTTTTTACAGAATACAACTCAGGATTTGGATGTAGCTAATGCACACTTTAAGCTCTTCAGAAATTAAAGAACCAACGTGCTCTAGCTTTGTCTTAAATTATAATCATTTTGAGACCCTGGAACTATTTGTATCTTGCACAAAAATTTGTAACTCCTTTTTATTCTGTGCTGTTGTGAAATTTTTCTGTGTTGGTTTTGGAGAATTGGGACCTATTTCAGGAAGAAAAATGGAAACACAAACAAATAAAATAGGCTCCAAAGTCCAAATGGGACAAATATATCCCAAGAAACAATGCTATTATTAATTCATACTTCAATTCAGGTCTTCTGAGTTCCTATGAAATTAATGAAAGTCAAGATTGAAAACCCCATTAAAAAGTCAGCCCATTTTTTGCAACATTGTAAGCAGTCATTCATCTATTCAACAACTTGAAGTTTTGCTGAAGGTGAACGTGCTGGCCTGTTAAAAGCAGCAGATTATAGCATAAAATATGTTAGGCTTACTGTGCAGATTCTTTCCCTCATTTAAAAATCCTGCATATGTATTTGAATGTGTGTGTGTGTGTACATGCATACATATATACAGGATTTTTAAAATGAAATCCACACACACACATACAAGATTTTTAGAATCTATAAATATATGAAATAGTGAACACACTGTAAGGCCGAGCCATGAATAAAATTAAGAAAGAAAACTTGGGGAGATCCTAATGAAAAAGTAGGTTTACCAGTAAGTCTAATATATCATGCTCAAGAGAGACAGATTCAATGCTTTGTCCCAAAAAGATACTTTTTTTCAACTATGCTCATTATTATTATTTCCTTTGAATGCAGGTAGTCCTTGAGTTCCAACTGGCTGCTTAGCAATTGTTCAGACTTAGGACAGACCACCTCGGGGAACTTACAACCTGGCTCCAAAGTTCCAACAGCTATACTCCTCCCCTCCACCACTGTGGTCACATGACTGAATTTCAGCCACTCAGCAACTGGCCTGTATTTATCGCTGTTTGTAGCGTTCCACATCCCATGACCACGTTTTATGACAATTTTTGCCAAAAAGTGGCATTTGCTCCTGTTTTTGGCAAAACCTACCCATAGGAAACAATTGGTTTGCTTAACAACCAACTGCAGAAAAGGTCATGAAATCAGGTCAGTCATGTGGGTGACCGCTGTACAATTGTCACAATTTACAACCATAATGGACAGCTCCATTACACTTGTAAGTCAAAGACCACCTGAATTCAAAATGAAAAGGAAAACATGGTGCACTGCTACAGTTGACAACTCATTCAGAAGCCTCCGTCTAGTCCTTGTTTAAGAGCAGAACAGTTTATGTGGGAATCTTCTGACAGAAATAAAAACCTGCCAGCTTCCTGAGTTCCTTCAATTGTATTCTTTATCGACAATGAAAATAGGAGTGTTTTTCTTTTGGCTTTTGGTACCTCAGAAAGTGATTTTAGTTGCACCCAGCCATAGTTTGGAGAGACAAAATATTGGCCTGTTAATTCCATCACCCTTCAGTCTCAGGAATTAAAGATACTTCTCCGATGTAAAATTTAGGACACTTGGCATCTGTTCCTTTCCTTACAATTTATTCAGAATCTAATTTAGTAAATTAAGTCAGTAGTTAACCACATCTAAACTAGAATCATTTGTAAAAGTGTCATAAACATATAGCGATAGTACAAGGGGAATATAGAAATATATATCCAGTCCTCAGGGGGATAAAGATAACTTTGAATAATTAAGAATTTCTAGTAAGCATGGCAGCATGAATTTTCATATTAAAAAGTGTAGCAGACTCAAATCTCCAATTAACTCTCAAGTGACTTCTTACTTAAATTGTACATACCAAGGGGACTATTGTTTATTTTTTAGTCATAGAAAGGTAGAGTGGAAGAACAGAATGCACTATGTGCATTTGAAAACTCAAAATATGTAGTAGCTTTAATTCTGTCTTTAATTCCCCTCATCATTTAGCTTCATGCCTTTTCTCAGTTATTACTCAAAATATCTTTTTCTGTCTTGCTCAGCATTCTGAAGTTCTGTGTGACACTTGTTAATACATGTTTTCATTATTATTATTATTATTATTATTATTATTATTATTATTATTATTATTA